GCAGATGGCAAGGCAAGGAAGAGTGTGGGAGCTGAGAGGACAGTGGCACCAGCACCCAGCGCTGCATGCAGAAGGTGTGAGGGGTGGGGTCTGTCAGGGGCAGGGGTGGTGCTTACACACACATTCTCGGGCCCGTGGCGTGGGGGACTAAAGGCAGAGAAAGACACCTGGAGTGTGCAGGTCAGCACTGGTCCCAGTGACAACTCCAGGGGCTATGGACTGCAGAGCCTGGCCAAGGACTGCTGCCTTCCAGAAAACCCCATGGGTCAAGCTGGCTCCAGCAGGTAGGGCCTAAATTCTAAGCCCAGAGTGGAGCCCTGAGCAGGGAGAAGACCTCAGCTTCCTGAGAAGGCTGGTTGACAGGAGGAACTGCAGCCTGGAAAGGGAAGGGTAGTAACACCCTTTTGTGGGTGACAAGGACAATTTCCACCCCGCCTCCCCTGGGCCACACAGAAAGACATAGGCAATGCAGTCAGTGCTTCTAAACAGATGCATTTAATGGGAAATCTTGGGGCAGAGGGAGTAGACGTCTCGGGCTCAGTTGGCAGCCAGGATCTCCTGCACCCAGGGCAGGAGCTTCGTGACACGGGCATACACGGCAGGCGTGGTAGTGGAGCAGGTGCCACTGCCCCAGGACACAATGCCCACCAGGGTCCAGGCTCCATCCTTCTGGCAGACCAGGGGGCCGCCAGAGTCGCCCTGCAGGAAGGAGAGAGGAACTATCTCCAGGCCTGAAAGGGGCGCCAGGGCCTAGGGGACCCTGACCTGGTGGAGTCCAGGGAGAGGGGCAGAGAAATGCCACGCTTGGGCACGGGGGGCGGGGAGCGCTGGGGTCTTGAGGTCTGGGTTCATGTGGCAGCCTCTGCTCTGCCATGCACTCCTGGAGGGAGCTGCACCAGGTGGCTTCCCTCTCTAAGCCAGGCCACCATCTGTCTGTCCAAACCTCCAGCTCAGAGGACTGCAAGGAAGTCCCCAGGGTCAGTGCCACCTGCCTGGCCTGAAGGAGCCCTCATGGGCAGCTGTGAGCCTGAGTCGGGACCCTCACCAGGCCCCAGGAAGGAGTGGGGTTGGTAGATGAGGGCACAGAGGGGTGGAAAGCCCAGGCCTCCCCAGCACCCCTCTGGCCTGGGAGGGTCTGGGCAGGGCCTGCCTCACCATGCAGGAGGAGACACCGCTGGCCCCAGCGCAGACCATCACGTCAGTGATCTTGCTGCCCCAGAACTTCTTGCAGTCGGCGTTGGACAGGAGGGGCAGGGCCGCCTGCTGCAGCTTGTCAGGGGTCTTGTTGGCTGCAGGACAGAAGGGTCAGGGCCCCTGGGCCCACCCAGCCCAGCAAGGAGGGAGAGACCTGGGGCCAACATGCCTCCCCTCCCCTGCACCATCGCCACATGGGCACGGCCCCTGGAGCCTGAGAAACACCTGTGGGACGAGGGGGCGCTGGCTCTGCCCAGATGGGAGCCCCAAGCTCTGACCCCAGGCAGGTCAGCCAGAGCAGTGCTCACACGGCTGTGCGCCGCTCAGAAGCCCCCCGCAGAGGCTCCTCATGATCCGGCCTGGATTTTATTTGCATTTGGGGGATTTTAAGTTCAGAGGGTTTTCAATAAAGAAGGGACAGTTAGGAGCATGTTGGTATTCAGAGCCAAACAAGAAGAGCCAAACCGTCACGGCAGGGACTCCATGGCAACGCAGCCCCGGCCCCAGAGGCGGCCCCCGACCCCAAGGAGGCCCCGCGGCCCTCACCGTTGTACTTGGTCTTGCCCCAGCCGGTGGTGGCACAAAGGGTCCCTGCGGGGAAGTCATCGTCGGCGCTGGGCAGGCACACGGCGGACACCGTCTGGGAGAACTGGGCGGGCGTGGCCAGCTTCAGCAGGGTGATGTCATTGCGCACGGTCAGCATGCTGAACTTGGGGTTCTTGAAGACCTGGGGGTGGGGGCCAGAATGCCGAGGTGAGGCCCCGGGAGGAGGCGGGACCTGCAGGCTTCGAGGACTGACTCCTTCCCTGGAGGCCATTTGGGAGGAGTCCGCCCTCAGGGGATGGCATGGGAACAGCAAGGCCAGCCTGGCCCCCCCGGGTGCCTGTCCCTGAAGCAGCTGAGTGGTCCCCCTGTGCCCACCGCCTCTGCCCTCTCCTCTGTGGGGCCTGGGTACCTTGGCGATCTTCAGAACCTGGATGTTCTCCTCGTCAGAGCCCTGGTCAAACTCCCCGACCACAACCACGTCGGAGGTGCTGGACAGAGTGTAGCGGGTGAGAGGAAGACCGTGCCCTGCTCCCCCCACCCTCACCGGGGCTGGAAGCAGAGCTCGAGGCTGCCGGCCCTCACCTGACCCCACAGTGGGCGGCGGTGACCACCCAGTCCTCGCTGATGAGGGAGCCGCCGCAGAAATGGAAGCCGGTTTTGTCCTGGGAGGAAGATGGGGAGGGTCAGCAACTGCCACCTGCGGCACCCCCCAGCCTGGCCACCACCCAGGGTGCCCCCTGCCTTGCAGAACCCCCGCTTACCTGCAGGGACACCTGCCAGGGCCAGGAGCCTGGGACAGCGTCCTCCCCATTGACAATCCTGGACAGGCCGCTGAGCACTGGCTGGATGGCAGGGACCCCGCAGCCTGGGGGCAGGAGTGGGTGAAGAAGGGCTGAGGCCCCGAGCCAAGCTGGGCCTCACCTGCCTGCACGCAGAACTCCCGCTTCTGCCCCCATCCATGGAGGCCAGCTCAGGACCTCATTGGCACATACCGCCTCCGCTTCCCTGGCCCCCCAGGCTCTAGGCTCAGATGTCCCTCAACACCCTGCCTGCTGGCTCCTCATCCTTCCAGGGTGCAGACGGTCATGGCTGCCCCTACCTGAGACCTGTCCAGCCTAGAGAAGCAGAAAACAGGCCAGGCCGTAAGACTGCCTGGGCTCCGCCTCAAGGCCACCCTTTCCTCGCCATGTGACCCTGCCCAGGCAGGGCAGCACTCGGGCCTCAGTGTTCCCAGCTGTAAAATGGGCAGCGGAACCATGTGAGCTCCCCTGGCCAACATGCCCCTCTTGGACTGGTGGGGAGAAGGGAAATGGGAAGAAAATCTGATAACCCCAAGTCTACCGGGGCCCCGAGGCTCTGACACTTTGCAGACTTGAGAGTGAAAGGGGCCGGGCGCGGTGGCTCAAGCCTGTAATCCCAGCACTGTGGGAGGCCGAGGCGGGTGGATCAC